ATGTCTATGGGGTTTTAAGTTGATAGGATTCCCGGTTTTGTGAAGTATGAATCGGTTCAATCACAGCTTCAAGATTTTCTCAGTTTAAGTAGCTTCGCTACGAGCGGGGTCGTACCATTGGGGGGAAAGAGGTAGTTGTCGTATCCGAATGTTTCCGCTTGGACATGGTTTGTGCGCTTAGAATTGGGAATCCTGGTAATCGTAGTCGAAATTTCATGCATCCAGAGAAGTATCGGTTTGAGCAGGATGGGAGTGTAATTGGAGAACCCACAAGGGATTCAGAAGGTGTTTTGAGAAGTGATGGGTAAGGACAAACTTCAAGGACGAAATCTAATTTAAGTGGGGGGGGGGGGGGAGTTGTAACACCCGTTTTACAGAATCGATCAGTGTGAGGAATTAAGTAGTCAAAAGTTTGGTTTTCGGGGAAAACCATAAGGAGGTCATGAGGTGAGGAGTAAAATGGGAAACGCGTATCAGTTATGCATGTCGCGACGTGCCATGTGTATAGTCACGTCGTGAGGATGGCTGCAGCCCAAGCCTATTCCTCCATATTTAAGACTTTCAACTTGGATTTAGTGTTTCAGTTCCAACCTCTATCACCTCCCTTCAACCTCCAAAACCCTAATCCCCCATAAGTTGAACCTTGAGCTCTATTTTTGGTGATTTCTAGCCAAGAAGAAGAAGAGGAATAGTTTTGGTGCATTGTCTCAGCTTGCAAGCCTCACCATCATCTTTTCTCATACTTTGGACCTTTGTGAGTATTCAAAGTTCCATGCTTTATGATCCTAAGTGCTCAGATATAGATTTTCCATGTGTTTTCTTCATGTCTTGGCTAGTTGGAGTGTTGGGGTTCTATAAAGTTGCCAATTTTATGGATCCCTAGAGTCCCTTTATGGTTAGAAGCGACATATCTGAAGTTTGATAGAGTTTTGAACTCTGGCATAAGATGTTGACCTCTATTTGCCACCATATCTTGACCTAAATTGAGTTCAGACATACATTAGACATGCATGTTTATAAAGCACCGATTTTTATGATCTTTTATCTGTATGAAAGCCTTCTAGAAAGTATGGATGGGTGGGAAAAAGGATTATGAGCTTAATGCAATAAGCTACCCAAAACGTTTCTCACGACGTGACACTCTGGTCGTTACGTCGTGACGGAGGCTGATTTGCAGTTATTTTGTCTCATTATGCCGCAACATAACCAAAGGGTGGTCACGACGTGGCGACCGACTGAATGACTTTTTAAGTGTTGACTTTGACTGGATCGTTGACTTTTTGACCAAGTTTGACTTTAGGTCAAACTTAGGGCTTTAGGTTGTAGTTTGAGGAATTGTCCTTGTTCGTTGTATAGGTGACCTATAGAGCTGGTTAGCGGATCGTTGATCATTACTATTATCTTCTTGACAACGAGTTAAGTTTTCTAACTATACTTTGTACTGTAGTATCTGTCCTTGTGTGTAGGATGTTGGTATATTGTAGTAACCTGTTAGAATTAGGAGATATGCTATGATTACCTGTATTTGCTTGTTATTGTTTTGGTGCATAATGTGATTGGGTTGAGGCTGTACTGCTTTGTGATCTAAGCCAACAACTCCATGAACAATCCAGTCATAGGTTGAGGGTCGGGAGGGCATTACAGTCTTATGTTGTGGGCTTGGGGGTAATCCGGTCTTTGTGACTGTAGGCCCAGGGGCATTTCGGTCTTTATGACTGTGGGCCCGGGGGCAATCCAGTCTTCGTGTTGTAAGCCTCGGGGCAATCCAGTCTTCGTGTTGTGGGCCCGGGAGCAATCCAGTCTTTGTGGTTGTGGGCCGAGTGTGCATGCATTGTATATGTTTTATTGTGTGGGGTATATTGGGGGAAACTCACTAATATTTGGTTTACAAGTGTTGATTTCAATGTTTTTAGGTACTTCAGATGATTGGGGTAAGGCGAATGCGTGATCGTACACATCCTACTATTTTTTCATGTTTTGAGAGATTATGTAGATACTCTGATTTTCATGGATATGATTTGAAAACAATGGTTGTTTATCTATGGTTTTCTTATGGAAATGTTTTATAAAATTGAAAATTTTTATCATGGTTTTTGGGATGTTACAAAGTAATAGTATATTTATGACTTTGGCCTAAAGTGTACTCCAATAAATGTCTAATTTTCATTCACCGGTGGTGTGTGCATGCGTTGGGAGGCATAATATTAACAACTAAGAGCATAGATACTAAATAATCCAAGCATCTTGAGAATAGCAATCGCGAAAACCTATCACGACCGTCTAGAAAAACAATATATGTAGAGATCGAGGAGGCTCTATTCGATATTTTCATCCCTCTAATCTGATTGATTTCTATTTTATTGTGATTAATATTAATTTCTATTTCATCCATCTAATCTGACTGTTCTATACAAATTCCCTCTTATTTTGGTTTATGTTACTCAAATATTTATTCCTTCTTGTATTCTGGATTGGATGAAGCAAACACCAGAACTCTCGAAGAAATATCGACAACAAGTCAACAAACACCGATTTGGACTCGATTTTTGAAGCAAACACCAATTTCTACATTGGGTATTTTGGTGAGTTTGATTTTTGAATTCTTCTCTTATTCTGATTTCCTTTTTCTCATTTCAATTTTCGGTTTTATGTTTAGTTGTTCACTGTATTCTGATTTTGATTTTTTTGTTAACCAAACACCGATTTTTGGATTGGGTATTTGGGTGAGTTTGATTTCAGATTTTTTTTCTCTTATTCCACTTTCCTTTTTCTCATTCCAATTTCCGGTTTATGTTCATTGTATTCTGATTTTGATTTTTTTTCTGAAGCAAACACCGAAAATTTAAAGATTTGTGAGGTTTTCGATATCTAGAGTGGGTGAGTCTGACTTTTGAATTGGATATTTGGTTAATTTCAATTTCTGCAGAAGGTATATAACAATTCCATTGTTGTTATTAGACAATAGTTTTGAAAAATAGATTCATATTTCTAATTCTATGATTCATTTTCCAAATCTCTCAACATCTTCAAAGTGGAAATAAAAACATATAATTTGGTTAGGTTGTATCTTTCTTTGCTCATTTTTTAATGTTATATTTGTTGAGTTTTGAAATTTGCTTTCTCGAACCACGTTGAATAGATTAACAATTTTAGAGTTACAAATTTTTGCAGAAATTTGACAAATGGTGAAGAATATGATATTGATGGAATAAATTTATTTATTGAGTTACAAATTTTGCAGAAAATATTGTTAGGTGAATAATACAAAGGTGAAAATAAATTGAAGCACTTGAAATCGTATATATCCGAAGTACCATGATTCAAGAAAGATTGAAATGTTTAGCAATTTTAAGCATCAAAATTGATTTTTTTACAAAATATTGATTATTATAAAATAAGAGATTTTTTTTCTTCAAAAAATGCACAAAAACATCATTTTAGGTGACTTTTATAAGATTTTGTTTGTATTATTTGTTTGATTATAAAAGTTAGGTGCTGTTTGTTTTTTCGAAGCGAAAATTCATGAAGTCTGCGGGCCATCTCTACAATCCTCTGCAGCAGAAGAGGTGGAACAAACGGCTGCAGCCCATAATAAGAAGCATGTTTGTTTTTTAACATCTGCAGACTGCTGCAGTAAACTGAAATTTAAATAAACTAATTTTATAAACTTAAAATAGTTCTCAACACCGAAATTTTAATAATTCTAGTCTTAAAATATTGAAAGAGTACTAAAAATAACATGTAAAAAAACAAAAATATAAAACTTTTTTTAAAAAAAAACTTACAAAAATATAAAAGAAGCTAACAACTTTATTCTAGAAAAAAAAAACTAATTTTAAAAAACATAAAAAAGAAAATAATAAAAAAAGTTAAGAAAGTATTGCAAACGATGTGTACAAAGTTCGTAAAAAATTACACACGTTAAAAAAGATGAAACTGAAACTGAAACTGAAAATATTATTAACGGAAACGGTAAAAAAATTAAAAAAATCAAAGCTTTTTTTTTAAAAAAAAAATTAAGTTAAAAAAATTTGTGGAAACTATAATAAGAAATTGTATCAAATCCTTAAATAAAAGTTTTTTTTTTAAATGTTAAAAAAAAATAAGTTATACCAAAATTCTAAAAAAAACTTCAAAAAATTGAAAGCTGAAGAGGTTTGAAGAGGCAAGTCAAGTGCTGCGCCACGCAGCACACACGCAGAGGTTTTGCAGTCTGAAGTCTTCCAAAATACAAACTGCTGCGAGAGGGAAAGTGTTACGCGTGTGCTGCGCCGCGCAGCAGAAAGTGGTTTGAAGAGGTTTTTCTAAAAAAACAAACACCACCTTAGTGATTTTTTAAAAACCCATGGACCGAATGTGTTCTTATAATGGTTTGGGGGAACTAGGATTTTAATCATTTCAAATATTGTTAACATACATAGTCAATTTGTAAAAGAACTATTTGATGCTCTCGCCTTTAACAAAAAATATTAGAATATGTTTTTAACTTTCTATGATTTGTGGTTATTATATGACGTTTTCATATTCCATCGACTAAGATGCTTATTTTTATGATAAAAGGTTTAATTGGTCCTACTTATATAATAGAAGATCTAGTTAAAATATTTTAGAAAAACTTTCTTCTTTCGAAAAGTTTTCTCATTTCTCAAAAAACGGCATCGGCGAATTCGCCAGATTCCGATAATGATTCTATTTAATAAAGAATGACGGAACCCACTTAGCGATGGATCAACAACCAACATAATCTATAAAACCCGCTTCCTCGAACCCAGACACGGAAGCATAAGACTGCATGGCTAACCGTCGACGCCCCAACTCCTCCCGTTTCCAGCAGCTCCGAGATGATACCTCTCAATCCACCGAACCTGGTAGCTTCTCCAAGCTCCAGTCGCTACCCAGGTTAACATGGTATCCGTTTGCGAGCTGGAAAATGGGTTTCTGAAATTCGTGAACCAAACAAGACCAGTCGCATATGGCTTGGCACGTATCATACACCGAAAATGGCAGCCGCTGCTTACGACGTGGCTGCATTGACACTCAAAGGTACGTATGCAGTTCTAAACTTTCCAGACTCTGTTATTTCAAACAGACTTCCAGAGTGTCCAACGGCGGATGACATCCGTGCAGCTGCTGTGAGAGCAGCTGCCGCTCCAGCACCAGGGGGTGGTGGAAGCATGACGGTGGGCGGTACAAATACAGCCTCTCCTGGTTCATATATGGACGCTGAACCCAATCTGTGGTCTGACATGGCGGAAGGGAATGCTGGTAAGGCCACCGAGAATGCATTCCAGTCCAGTGGAGGCAATCTATGGAATTACTAAAAGCAAGCTTGCTAATTAACCGGTATGCATGAAATATGAATCTTCAATGTTTGTAAGACTTTACTTTATGTTGTTTTCGTGTGCCTTTATTTATTTATTTCCATAAGCTTCGGCAAAAAAAAAAAAAAGAACCAACGATGAAGGTGTTCGAGTATTCTGGGTATGACATGTAAGCGTTGCGCCGTCTATTTTTTTAAGTAAGTTTTTCAACCCTAGTAAATAAATAACACCTACTAGTTGTTACTTTTATGTTATAAATATCGGCTGATTTGAAGTCTTTTTTATTGTTACGTTTACATTTTATGTTAAGTTTATCATGACATGTTTTAGCATGATGGTTCAGTTTGTTGACATGATTATCATTTAAAATTTGAGCGAAACATTGTTCTAATCACCATAATTAAGGTTGATAACATAACCTAATGTTTTGTATGGTTGAAAAGATTATATTTCTGTGGATTGTTATTTTGATTAGTTAAAAATTATTCGAAGCTACAAAACTTTTTTTATCAAATTAAACAATAGTGACTCGAACTGGGTTTCAATGAAACATTTTAGTGTCACAAGTTTGTGTAACTAAAAGTGTGATATAGACATATAGCCATATAGGGACCATCTATTGGAGTGTTGTTCACAAGGATAGCTATAAAAAATAATTACCAGTCCATCTTGTGGTTTTAGACTTTTAGTTTATTTACATAAATATGGCAAAATATATTGTAAATTGGGCCCAACATCTTTCGTAAAACAAAAATAAAAATCAAATAGAACATGTTTATTGGACAGAGACACCACTTTTTATTTTTATTTTTATTCATTTATTTATTTATTATTTTTTGTGTAGTTTGCTAGCCGGATAATCAAATAGACCACCGATATGTGAATATCTATCAGTAAATTTCTGTTTCGAAAATACAAATTATGAATAAAACAAAACATGAATAAATGGTCATTTTACAATTTTTATTTTTTATTTTTTTTAACGTCAAACTAATCTAATCCTAGCTACTACTTATGTCTCAAGTGAGGTTTGAACATATGACATTTCAAATGAGAGTATGACTCTTTACCGTTACGCCGAAGTTTTAGGGTGTTTAATAAACAACAATAGGAACTAGGTGTATAATTTATTCAAACCATACAAAGGTTTGAATACTTAAACCCAACCAATGAACCAAAATTGTAATTTAGTCCTATCTATTTTTACTTTAATTAATATTTCTTTTTATCAAATGTCATATTCACATTCATTTGTCATATATATTTAAATATTAGAATAGTAATAAATATAATAATTTATTAATACAAATTTCATTGTAATTTCAAAAAATCCATAAATTAAAGCCTAACTAGTAAAGAGACTCGTGAGTTGCACAAATTGGACTTTTTTTTGGTTAATGTTTGGTGGGTCACAAAAATAGGATGATATAATTGGTTGACTTTGAAAGTACAATGCTTAAAAAAAAATAAAGTAGATGTAACCCATCAATCACAAAAGAGATCGATACAAATCATCAATGCAAGTAACCCCTAATTATAAAAAGTTATTTTACAGACGTGCTTGTGAAATTAAGCATACATCATTTATGAAAAACATTCTCTATATTTCATTTTTTTATATGGTATTCGTTTGTAGCTATAAAATCCAATCATTTGCATCGAAGTTGCAACAATTGAAAATGATATTAATGCAACAAATACTTAAGCAAAATTTAAAAAATGATAATAGAACTTTAGTGGGTAGCTTATAAAGAGAGGTTTCTTCACTAAAAGTATTGCATCTGAGATATCAAACACTCAATAAAAATTAAGAAAAGCACACACACAAACTTGATAAAGAAAAGAATAGAATAACAAATTGAACAAAACTATTATTACATTGGGAAACTTTCTATGTGAGTTTTTAACATGATTGTTCGATACTGATAAAATTGTCCTCCAAATCAATCACCAGACTCCTGAGATGTATGGATATGCATTACATGTGAACCATGCCAAAACAATATGGGTATAACAAAACATATAGACAAAAATGACTACAAATTCTTAAAATGTAATACTTTCAAGTTATTATAACATTCTACTCTTTTCTTTTATTGTTTTAAAACATAAAATAGTAGACGATCTATTTTATTATTAAAATACCTCTAATCGTATAATTTTGTGAGTTTCCTTAGCAAGAAATGTCTGCAAATTAATCTGTTTTCTATTATGTGAATAAGAATCTCCTGATAGGTTTTAGCAGGGTTACTAAACTCTTCATGATCTCCTTTTTCCAATGTATGTCATGTTATCAGTATATGTATAAGTTGTGATCCTTTTCTTATTTCTCTTCATTTAATAACCCCGGTGGAACATAATTTACCCGTCTACCCTTGGCCTCAAATTCTTGCGCTTTTTTGCAAAAGAAAACCCAAAACAACCTGAACGGTTATGTTAACATTACTTATTTAAAAGAACAACGACAAATGAAGATTACTCTTTTAATTTATAACCCAAGGAAGAAAATAAAGATAGTCCCACATCACCATATAGAAAATCTAAAGTAGAATTAGTAGGGTTGATTTTACTCACTTGTTACTAATAATGGGGAAGAAAACGTAGCCGATAATGACGTTTTACATCAATCAGAGCTCAAAAGTACTTGAGCATTAAGAACTTTGATTTGAGATAATTTTTTTTGTCTCTAATAGTAGTTTTTACCTTTGTACCATGTAACATTAGCTATCAGAAGGTAAATAGGTACACAACAATACTATACAATTTAAATGATATATGTTATTTATTCTTCTACATAAGCAGTAACATCATATGCCTATGGTAGATCAAGAGTCATATATATGAGAAGAAAGGATTTCATGAAAGTATTATTTAGGTTATATAACCTAACAGAAACTGCACATATAGAATAAGCGTAGAATGATGATAAGTACTAAAAAGTTTTTGAAACAGATGTTTTAATTTGCTAATTTAACATTGATAAATTGTAAATCACATAATTAAATACCGATTTAATTTTCTTTAAAATTAGTAAGAAACTAAAAATCTTATTTAAACCTTCATATTTAGCAGCCTGAATATTCTGTTCTCTCATCACATGTTCAACCTTGATATACCAAAAAATTCATGTCAGGTAATATTATTTATTTCGTTTGGTGTATTGATCAATCAAAAATAGATTCTACAATTAACGAAATATTTGGTGTATCTATCCGTTGGTAATCTTAAAGATTACCGTTTGAAAATCAAAAATCATACTTGGACTGCTTATGAGAATGCATTATGCTTCAATATTTGAAGCCAACAAATCCTAAATACTAACATACTGAAGTAACATAGCAACATCACGTCTCATCCGCCTTACCACCACCTGTATGTTGTTCCTCAGAAGGTTTATCTGAGGCATGCATGTAAACATGTATATATAGACGGAAAAATGAAAAAAATGTTACCTATCATATAACCTGTGTTAGATTCTGTGATAACTAAAAGGCAGGAGTTCTTCATCTATTTTTGAACATGCCACCATAGTCATCATTTTCCCCGGTTCTCTCCCTCACACACTTCCCTCTAAATTTTTGTAAAATTAATGAACCCTAGGTATATTTTCACATTTGAATATGCCTTAACACACTGATAATAAAAAAATGGATACGTTGCATATAACGCCTGGTTTCCAAAACAAATTGGTTTAGGGCTTCAAGGAGTCAAAGGCATGGTTTTTGGGTAAAACTAGGTCCCACGACGTGACCATAGAGTGGTCACGACGTGACAAGAGATTAAATGAGAAAACTAATTTAGACTGAGCTCATGACGTGAAAAATAGGAGCTTACGACGTGAGATGAGCTGCAGCCCAAGCCTAGGGTTTCCTTCGTATTTAAACCCCATAAAACTTCATTCTAGGGTTCCTTAACAACCTCCTTCGTCCCTAAGCACAGAAAAACCCTAACCCTAGCCTCTCCTTGTGATTCTTGAGCTTTTGGTGGCTTGAAGAAGAAGAGATCACCATTGAAGCATAGATTCAGCTTGGAAGTTTCATTTGCAAGCTCTAGCAACATCTCTGGACCATTGTGAGTTACCAACATTCAATCTTTTTGATTAATTGTTGCTAGATCTAAGGTTTTATGTATGTTTATCCATGTTTAGTTGAGTTAGAGTGTTGGGACTCCATAAAGTTTGCAACTTTATGGGTCCTTAGAGTCCCTTGGTGATTATATGTTATGTATCTGAAGTTTGGATGATGTATGAACTCATGATTGAGGTTTTGACCTCCTTTTCTTCATAAATTCCCTATTTTGAGATCATGTATTGCATTGGACATGCAAGACCTTAGATCATCGATTTTTATGGTCCTTGGGGTGTTAGGAAGCCTTCTGGAGAACATAGATTAGTGGCTTAACGGATTAAGAAGTTTATACATCAAAATGTCATTCAGACTGATCTCACGATGTGAGGATCAAGAGTCTCAATTATTTTGACCCTTGGTGGCTTACGACGTGAGCCATTGATGGCCACGTCGTGATGGGAAGTTGAGCGTTCACTTCCGTTGGCCGTTGATTTTTTGACCAGTTTGACTTTGGGTCAAACTTGAAGGATTTGGGCTATTGATTAAGATTCTTCCTTATTTTGGTGATAGAGGGTTCATGGGAACAAGCAGTACAGAAGGGAAGCACGTCGCAGTGTTTCTGGGTTTTTGTTAATGTGCATATGTCGATATATTGTAACGGTTTGGGTTGAGACGGTTCTGCTTTATGCTGAAGGCCAAGATACCAGGGGCATTCTAGACATGGGATGCGGACCCTGTAGGGGTATTCCAGACTCATGCTAAGGGCACGGGAGTATTCTAGACATGAGCTGAGGGCAGGGAAGGGCATTCCAGACTCATGCAGTGGACTCGGGGGCAATCCAGACTTATGCTGAGGGCCCTACAGTGGTATTTTAGACATAGGTTGTGGGCCTAGTGTACATGATGTTTGTGTTTCATGGATGGTACTTTAGG